AAAGGCTTTGGCAAAGTCTTCGGCAGGACGCTTTTCCACAAAAGCACTTTTTGCAGAAAAGCATCTGTGGCCAATCTAGACGCGCTTTTCCGCAAAAAAGCCCCGATCGCCATTTTCGCGATCGGGGCTTTTTTGTGGGAAACAAATCTCTGCTCTCTACACTGGCCCTTTTGCGCAAAAGTTTTTCGGAAAAAGACTTTTGCCCAAACGGGAGCAGCATAGTATTTCCGCAAAAGCACTGACAATCTTACATGAGATCATCAGTGCATTTGCGGAAATTCAAGCGGCCAGTGTAGACAGCTGGCAAGTTTTTCCACAAAAGCAGATGATTTTGCAGAAAAAATTGCCAGTCTAGACACATCCTTCATGTTTAGCACTATTTCTTGTTTTCACACAATTAATTTTTGGCTTTTTGTTCAGTGTGGTTCAATAGAATTTTTTCACTTTTCATTTTGTTTTATTGACAATGAGGGAATGGTCCATGTCACAGTCAGCACCATGATAGGTATGTGTGGACTTTACACAGTTTAAGTCCTTTCTTCACACTAGGACAAAATCCAGTTGATGCCAGCAGCCTGACCATGGGTGGCACCACGAAACTTTGTGGTATTCTTTTCCCTGACTACATCACCAAAAAGGGCTACTTTTCTATGGTTATGCAAGCATTGGTGGATCACCAGGAACCTGTTACTGATATCAGTGTGCACTGATCAGGGAAAATGCGTGACACATGCATCCTTAAGAACACAAGACTATTCAGAAAGCTACAAACAGGGACTTTCTTTCCTGACCATTGGATTACCATTAGAATAGTGATTACCATTAGAATAGTGATCCTGAGTGATTTATCAGTTGTTTGCTGAATTTGAGCAGCCAGACACAAGGATTAGTTGAAGAGCCCAATGCAAGCTACACAGCTAAGGGAGTCTTTGAAAGACCATTTTAATCAGGAGCCAATGTAGTGTGTGTTGCTCCAGTGTGGTCTATCTGGCCCTACTTTTTTTGCAATGTGGCATGATTCCTGTAGCGATTGCTGTGCATGTAGGAATATTACATCGTCAATGCACTTATTAATATGGTTTCTGAGTAGTATTATGAATTGCATGACACAGTGCAGTAGCAGGCAGTTGGTCACGTTTAGACCTGCTTAGCACCAGGCAGCATATGGTGTGAAATAATAAAGATTAATTTTGTTCCAAAAATAGAGCTTTATTCTGTAACATGAATCAGGTAATTAAAAACATTTAAAACTTAATACATAAGGGAACAGAACTTATGAACAGGAAAAACAGTCATTTCGATTTCAGGAACATGGACAGCAACCATGGCTTTCACAAGTCAGTGTAGGTGGAGCTGTTACTGTCTATAATGTTTCCATGGCTGGAGCGGTAAGGGTAGTGCACCAACCCCAAAGCATATGGAATGTAGACGGGAAATAGAGAGGCACCTATATTAAGTTTTCCAAAGGCTGCAGAGGGAGACAAACATGGGTTTATTCAATCTGCAGGTTCACCACAATCTGCAAAATCTCTGTTTGATGTTTGGAAAGCACAAGCAACCTCAGCTGCACACCCCTCTACTTTTCCTTCACTTTTCCCCTCACCCTTCTGTCCTTCCCCAAGCTGTTTATAAGGGAAGCCCTGTGCTCATTATCTGCAGCATGCACTTACATGAATTCCTGAAACATATTACCCCAAGTCCTCTTCTTTTTCCTCATTACTGGGCTCAGGCATTCTGCAGGTGTGGAGGAGAAGAGCCTGACAGCCAGTGTCAGTAACATGCAGAAGTACCATTGTTAGTTTATTCACCACAAAAATCAAAACTGAAAATGCTGAACTCACTCCACTTGTTCCCCCGAAGTGGTAAGCACTAACTTCTTACTTCTGCTGGAGACTGATTAAGCAAGACACCAATAACTAGCTCTGGTGAGTATGGCCCTCTTGTGGTTCAGAAAGTGAGACTAGCTTGTTTGCCTGATTCTAGTTGTATAATATTGAAGTTGTAATGTGATTGCATACTGGCACCATTTTCCATAGATGGTGATCATTTTAGCTGACATCTCACTCTTGTGGATCACTGAGAAAGAGAGAGCATAGCTATTGTTGCCATCCAATGCCCTGTGGATCACTGAGAAAGAGAGAGCATAGCTATTGTCATCCAATGCCCCGCGTACCCCTATGCTCCTAGTCTGTGTACTGCTGAAGTACTGTGTACTGCCTGTTGAAGTGGCATGAGAAGGTGTCCTACTACTGCAAAAGAAATAAGGCAGCCCTCCCCAGAAACCTTTTGCAGAGGAATACAAAGTACCTTCCTGAAAGTTTCAGTGAGAACTCTACAGAGGATTCGTGGAACATCCTAGTGCTCAAATTGCTCTGACTCTTAACAGGGCTTGAGAAGCAGAGAGTAACTCTTTCTGGTTGTTCCACTACTACTTCTACAACAAATAAAATGAGTAAATCAAAACATGCGTCCTGCTACTTTTGGAAGAGGGGTGCTATCCCTGTAATTTCATAGTAAACAGCATATTTACCAGAGCTTCCTTCCCCTTCACTGAATTCACCTGCCTCAAATGCTGTGACTAGCTGGACTGTAGTGGTGACTAAAATGTTCCTAGCTTGCTGCACATCTGAATCCTCTAGTTGCCTGTCTGATTCTCCTCCTCTTCTTCCTTGATCACCTCTTCCTCTTTGTCATTTATAGTAGGGACCTGTGATTCAGGCTTATCAGAAATAGCCTTGGTGCCTTTGGGGGATGGTGGTAGGGTCTCTACTGAGGACAGCATGCAGCTCTTTGTAAAAGAGGCAGATCTGTGGCTCACCGCTGGATTGATTGTTGGCTTCCCTGATCCTCTTGTATGCCTGCTGCAGCTTCTTGGCTTTCATGCAGCCCTGCTGCTGGTCCCTATTGTAGCCCTTCTCCTACATCCCACAAGCAGTCTGCTCAGAGCTGTCCACATTTCTACAGCTGGCTCAGCACTGTGCCTGCATAGCCTCTTCTCTCCACAAACTCATGAGGACCAAAATCTCCTGCCTACTCCAGATTTGCAGTGTGTACCTGGCATGATCAGCTAGTTACCGGTGCTTGTCAACTGAGTGATCAGAAAAAGGAATTTCAAAAAGTTACTGGGCTTTAAGAAGGGTAGAGGCTTCCTGTCTACCTGACCAATTGTGAATTCACAATTGTGACTAGCAAGGTCAGCGTGGGGCAATATGGGACAGCTGCAGGAGGACAGTAATGGATGACATAAGTAACACAGTGATTACACTCTCACTGCATTGACCTAAGTGCATGGACCGTGACACCATGCCATTCAGTAAGGTGGTGTAATTAAATCTGTGTAGCATTGCAATTACATCAGCAGGAGCCAAATTTAAGTGAAGACACATCCACAGCGGGGTTGGTGTAAGTTGCTTTATGTCCACCTAATTGTGCAGTGTATACTAGGCCTTGCTCTTAAAGAAATAAATTGGGAACCAAGGAGGCAGGAAAGTACAGTGGTTGAAGCAGCTGTTAGTACTTGAAGACTTTTAAAATATTGTAAATGCTAATTACATTGAAATGTTCATAGGACTTCTTATTTTCTGTTTTTAACCAATAAACATTACCTCCAATAAGAAAAGGAAAGGAAAAAGAAAAATAATGTACTGGTGTTTATCTATCAAATACCAGAAAAATACTGAAAATGCTTACTTGCATATAAGGGCTTGTCTATAGGGATCAATACTGCAAACCGTGGGAGTATGCTGATACGTTGCACAGTAATTGTTCCATATAGACCCTGTTAGTGTGCACCAAAGGTCACCTAGTGCACTTTAACATAGCACTGTTTGGGACATTGAAGCACACTAGGGAACATTACAAAAAGATTACTTATTCCAATATATATATTTCCTCATTACTTTTCATGTTAAAAGAAACCTCAAAAAGCCCTGATTAGCCCCCAAAATGAACTAAATATAAAAAAACAAAGTCCTAAATGTTCAATACAGAGGACGCTCAAATAAATGCCAACTAGTGGTCCCAAATTTCAGATGACAATTCAAATTCTTTCAGATGTATTCAAGCTGCAAAATACTTCTACTTAAATTATAAGGTGTTCAGGTTAGAATCTCCCTTTCTCTTGTGTTTGTATTATGCCTAACATAACAGAGCTGGGCACTAGCACAATACAAAATAAGGAATAATAAAAATAATTTGTTTATAATCAAGTTTCTTATTGCATGAAAGGTAGTTCTTATACACAGTGCTGCTGTCAAATGTAAAACACTTCGTTTTGACTAAACTATTTTTAGTTGCATCCACCTGCTCCTGCTTTGATTTTCACACACTTAAGATTTCTGACCTGTAATTGTAATTTTAGTACAGAAGACAGAGGTTAACAAATTATGAAAGTATGTATTTGATTTAATAGGGATCAAGAGAAAACAGATATGAACAGATTTGGTATTTTACTTTTTAATTTGTTCCTGAAACAGAAGAACTTTATTTTAATATTTGTTTCATCTGCCTTGAAATGGGAACTGCAAGGGCCTTGATAAATAGTTTGGAAGCTTCACCAGTTTAACTGTAACAACCTCTGTCTTTTGATAAAATGTCATGTAATTTTCCATAGCAATTGTCCTCAGACAGTCACAGATAGCCTTGACATTTCTCACAGTTCTGTACTGAAGGGACTATTTTATTCCTCAGTGGTGGGACATTACAGTCACAATGCTGTGATAAAAGACCCAGGGCCAGATTCTCAGCTTATGTACATTTTTATAGCTCCACTGATGTCAGTGGTGATATAAAGGCAATTTACACCATCTGAGGATCTGCCCTACCTATATTTTTTTGTAAAGTGAAGTGAATAGGTCCCTCTGCTTTTAAGTTCACCTAAAAATGTAAAATGGTTCTTGTTGGAATAAACATACAGGAAGCTTCCTTTTAAGAAGATTTTTAAGCTGTTTCAGTCTCCAGATGTGTTTTAGTGTCTGAATAGTATTGTCTTTCTTTAAAAGGCACTCATTGATCTACAGCATGCTCACCACAAGCTAAACAAGCAGCATCATGATAAAGTGGCGGAATTGATGCATGCAAACAAGAGAATGGAACAACATGAGGCTGAGGTTAAGAAGCTGAGAATTCGGGTGGAAGACCTAAAAAGAGAACTAAACCAGGCAGAGGATAAGGTATTTAAACTTTCAATTTGTTAAAGAATCTGTCATCACAGTTTACTCACATATTCAAGGGTAATACTGCTAATGCATTTATATATTATAGTGTTATGTGTTTATTATGGTCCTAGGACTGCAATCTTTGACATTAGACATGGAATTTGATCTCTTTTTGTCCATTACCTTACTACCATAAGATTATTTCTTAAGATTTCATATGTCTCTATAATACTAATAGCTCCCCCCCAATTATGTTTCTACTGAATATGCATAGGCAGTAATAGGACAATTTGGACAAAACACACACAGGTGTGTGCGCGTGTATGTTTATATAATATATAAATATAAGAAGACATCATTAACCAACTAATTTTTCAATATTCCTATGAATCCAAATAATTCTAAATCACAACAGCACAAAATTATGTTGCTCTTGCCCACCACCACCTTCTGGATACAAACACCAGCTTAATCCTTTTCATTATTCATTACCCTTAGACTTCTTAGATTATTTTACATTTAAGACCATTGCTGATGGATAATTGTATGTAAACTGTAAAATTACAATTTGAGGAGCTGTTAATTAGACACCAGCACCCCCCCCAAAAAATAAACAAACCAAAAAAAAACCCCAACAACCACCACATGTGCTTTTCTCCATGTCCTGATTACCTTTCAATTGAAAAAAAAAGTTTAACAACATTTTTATTCTGAAAATAATTTTCCCGCCAGCCTGAGAAAGAGGATCCCTTACCTGAGAAGTGACGATTATAATTGGTTTATGTGACAGAGGTATCTCGTACTGCTGAAATGACATCATTTCCCTGCTCACATTGGGTACATTGATGCTGAAATAAAAGCAGCTAGCCTGGGTCATCTGACTGGGCCTCATGGGGCTTGAGCTGCAGGCTATACAATTGCAGTAATGGTGTTCAGGCTTGACCCTGGGCGCTAAAACTCTGCAAGTGTGGAGAGTCTATGCTCCAGTCTAAGCCTGAATGTTTACATTGCAATTTTTAGATCTGCAGCCTGAGACCTGTGAGCTTCAGTTAGCTGACTTCAAGACTTCCTGTTGTGTTTTTTTTCCCACCAAGTAGATGTGCTCATTATCCCTTCTGCAGTGTCTTCTATGATGTGGCAAAATGAAACTTCATCTACCTTAGGAAGCAAGAAAGGAAATCCTCTTTTTGCACCCATGTGTTATAGTGGTACTTCCTGATGGCCACTTCCGAACATTAAGTAGTAGAGTTTCCTATTTCTTCCATGTAGCAGCCTTTCTAGATAATCTTGCTATAAAAAGAGAGAGAGGGCCTGGATTTTCAGAACTGACTGGTGATTTGGGGTGAACTAATGTTTAGATGCTTAGCTTGAGACACCTAGAAAAAATAATTTGATGGTAGTTGAAAATGAGGTAATAATACCTTTGGCATAGCAAGTGCCAGGCAAGTATATATAAGATTCCCCAATACACAACTTTGTGTGTGTACCTCAGTCCTGACTTACTGTATCCCTCTTTACAACATAATAAAGTGCTTCTCCGTTCCTAAGCAAACATTACCAATTCTTCAGAAATTTGTGCTAGTTTTTTTTATTTGGGCAGAAACTTAGAACTAGAGTGAAATTGAATATTTTAAGTTTTATTTATAATCTCAGAGTATTTGGGAACATGTTTGAATAATTAATAATAATTGAATAAGTATTTGGGAACATGTTTGAATAATTAAAATTTATTTTTTTAAATAAGCAGTTTTTTATCTATTGGGTTAGATTAAATCTTATTGTTGTGGGTCTCACTGCTACCTTTAATTTTGGAGGAATGGAAAGAAGTTACTGATGTAACAGTCTTCATCCTCAAAATGAGCACAATATTCAACCCCAAGAAAAGCATAGGGAGGAGGGCTCTAGGGCCAGCACTGAGAAAAAGAGGCTTAGGCTGTGAGCAAAGAAATGATGTGCAACTATTTGGTTTCTCAGGGAAACAAAACTTTGAAATTCCTTGTAAATTATCAAGATTGCATCTAAGAAAATATCTCACTCTATCATCAGTTTCTTCTCTTAACTGATACAACCATCAATATCCCACATTTGGTTAACTGCTCAGGTCCAAAAGGATAGCATCATTTTTGTCTAATTCAATACAGAACGGGTTATTTTCTCTTAGATAGATTTCAGCTGTTTTGCATCACAGCTAAAATGTGGTAACTTTGGTACTATAGCAAAGAATGAGTAAAATTCTCACAGGGTCTGATAAGGATCCAGAAAGTTATGAAAACACACAGGGGCCTATTAAATACAATCCTCTGAGATTTACATGTTACATTTGTAAATGAACCTGACTAATTTAGCTATAGGATTAAATTTTGAAGCCTTTGTAAAATGTTGCCTGATAGCACAATCCCTGTCATGCTGTGACGTCTGCTTGATCATTCAGTTCCTCCTCAGTAGTTTTGTATTTAAAATGGAAAATGTAAAAGCTGAAAATTGTAAAAATAAGATCTATTCACAAAACCAATTTCTATATCTTAACTGTGTGTATTTCTGGTAGTACCCATAGTGTTCTATGTGCCGGTCAAACAGGGAAAAAGGCACGGTGTCTATCCTGGAGAGCTATCAGTTTGAAATACAAGAGACAGATGAAGGGCTGGGGAAGTATGGAACAAAAAGAAATGAATCAGGATGATGATTAGGCAAATTTGTATTCAATATTTGGAAGTTGTGTGTGTGTGTGTGTTTGTGTGTATATGTTTTAAGACATGCAGAATTGGACTCTTAGTTTACTACTTTGCTTTTGTTTTTTGTAGCCATTCTGGAGCCCATCATAGACATATTGGGAGAGGGGGGCAAAAGGAAAAACAAAGCTGGTAAACCAGAGTCCAAGAAAATATTTTGATACACAGAAAATCCTGTTAGGGACTGTATATTCAGAAATATGGTAATGACACATGAAAACTTTCACTCATGAGCTCAGTCAATACTAGAAACTAGAAACTTAGACATCACTGCCAACTTAGACATCACAGAGCAGTCAGCTGATTATTTGAAATTAATTTTGAACCCCGTTCCTATTAGGGTATAACAATCACATACTCCTAATTAAAACTAATTAGTGCTCCTATTAGAAGTCACAACAGAATAATTAATAAGGAAAACAAAACTACTTCACTTTTTACTTTAAAAATGGTCTCTCAAAGCATACAGGTTAATGCTGCCTGAGGGGATACTTGCACTGCAACCACAAATCTTAAACCTGTTCTTTGAAGGAATGGGATATTTCTACTCCCTTTGTGTCAGTCCATCACCCAGATCACCATTACAACACACATAGTACTTATACTTTATAATTAGGAGCTACAGTTAGTTTTCTCCAGGGTCTACACAACAGCAGAAAGTCATATTAAAGATACACACTTCAGCTATGTTAATTATGTAGCTGGAGTCGATGTATCTTAAATCACATTTCCGTGCTGTCCACACAGTGGGAGGGTGATGGGAGCAAACACTCCTCTCGGCTTCTCTTAATCCTCATACGGAGCAAGAGTACTGGCACCAATGGGGATACCCTCTGAGTTTGATTTAGTGGGTCTTTACTAGAGCAAACCCCAACGTCGATCTTCTACATAGTGCAGACATACCCTTAGGCTGTGTCTACATTGCACGCTTCTTGCGCAAGAACAGCTGTTCTTGCACAAAAACTTGCTGGCTGTCTACACTGCACACATGTTCTTGTGCAAGTAAATTTACAGTATAGCGTCGGAAGACAGGGCTTCTTCAGGAATAGTTAGTCCTCTCCCCATGAGGAATAAGCCCTCTTGCGCAAGAGCTCTTCCACAAGTGGGCAGTGTAGACAGGCAACATGAATTTCTTGCGCAAGAAGTCCCCATGGTTAAAATATCCATCAGAGCTTTCTTGCGCAAGAGAGCGTCCACACTGCCATGGATGCTCTTGCGCAAAAGCACATAATAGTGTGGACACGCTCTTGTGGAAGATTTTTTGCACAAGAACTCTTCCGTAAAACAGCTCTTGCACAAGAAGCCTGCAGTGTAGACGTAGCCTTAATGTCTTGAGAGCTATTCTTCATGAACTACTGATAGTGTGATAAATGTAAATGTAATATTTTTACAACTATGAAGTGTCTTCTTGTATAAGAAGAAAATAATGGTATTTGCTGTATTTTAGAGAAGTTATCAGGTTTCCAGTCACTTGTATTTTCTCTTCTAATGCAGTAGCTTAACTAAGATTTAGCAAAAGCATGAAGATTTTCTTCTTATTTAAGCGCTGTCTGAGGAAGATTATATTAGCATTTAGGTTTCTCCTTTTATTCCTAACACTAAGATTTAGTTTAATACACTGTTGCATTCAGCATTTGAAAGAACTGTATTTGTGACACAATAGGCAGAATGTCTTCAACCAACCTCAAAAATAATGTGGTGTTTTCTGTGCTCCATTGGAAGGAAATTATCATTTTATTCAGGGTGAAATGTTCAACCTGATTATTTCTGTTCTTAAGCCCACATAAAAATGGAAAATTCTTATTCTTTCTGACTGCTAGTTTTTTTTTTATATTTTATGATTTACATTATTTTTTGCTGATGCACTTAGTTCATTTATAGCTGAAGCCTATTGTAACAGATTTTGAAAGCATATCTGAAAACATACTAGATATTACATTTAAGGCTCCAAACATTTGATTCATATTAACGCAGCAACCTGAGTTACTGCCAAATTTACTCATTATTTTTCTCGTTATGTAATACTTAGGATGTTTTCTTAAACCAATAGGAAAAGAAAAAGATAATGTGTATACAGAGCTGATTATAAAATCTACTGGTTTGCCTGAAATAAGAGGTATTTTGTTTCTATAGTTTTGTTGGAGATCTTCAGTAGAAAAACAAATACAAGCTTGTGTGGTTGTAGACAAACATTATTTAACGTCACTATGTGAAATTCTGTCTGAATTTAGCATCTAGAACATAGGTGGGCAATAAGCATCTAGATGCATCTGTGGGCCGGAGGCA